TGTGACCTTATAGGAAATAGGTAGAGAAGACACTTCTCCAAGTTTTAGGTTCAGACTGCAGATATTAATTTGCCGAAATGTTTCACAGAAATTTACAGAGCCCAGTATGGGAACGCCATGTTGGTGCACCTCTGTGGTGCACCAATGTGGCGGCCGGAAAATAGTGTAAACATCTGGAACTTTCTTTGGTTATCTAGGCCACTGATTATCTTTACTGAACAAACAAACATTTAGATAAGCACTTTTTCTAATGATCTAGCTTCTAAAAAAGCTAAAAATTATGAGACAGGTATATATTTTTCGACAAATGCGATTGTAGCTTTGTGTCACGCATCGCCATAACTCTGAAATTCAAACTACGCTGGTTTTCAAACGAAGCCCACTATTGACCTGCAACATTGTAAACAAATATAAATTTACCCCCTCTTATGCCTGATGGGGATAAAAACTTTGGTGGCTCTTTAGTTTTAGATTTTAGAAAATGACGACGTCACATGAAAACGATCTTCAGTTCCTCTGGGACTCGGAGAATCGTTTGCGTTCGGAATAGTCAGAATAGTCGGAATAGTCAGATGGCTTCCAGCTTATCCCAAATTCGTGTCTTATGCAGTACCTTGACAATGTTAAGCTTTCTACCAGAGATAGAGCAGAATGTACAGGCCATGAGAATCTATAGGTTTTTACAGTAGCGCTGGTTCCGAGTTAAACCATTTATTCGAATTTTAACTGAACATCAATTTCTACGACGAATTTGCGATCCTAAAAAACTAGCGAAACATCTCCTCGTGGTCGCAAACGAAAAACATCAACTAAGCGTAGTCACATGACCCAAGCATTTGCACTTCGTATACGCTATAATAAAATGTCCTTCACATTACGTGGGGAACCCGAGATCGAAGAAATCCTCAATGGCTTCGCACAGATCAACCCACTTCTTTGGTCTTTTTCTCATTTCTGGTCGAGTTTCATCGAGATAAAGGTATTGAATGAAGAGGAATACTCTATCCTACGCGTCCTTTATTGCCACAGCTTCCAGCAACATATCTTCCTTGCATTCTGCAACTATTTTGACACACACTATCGCATGTTCGCATATATTCTTCTCAGAAACAAAATATTGTTATTCCCGAAATGANGATATTAATTCGCCGAAATGTTTCACAGAAATTTACAGAGCCCAGTATGCGAACGCCATGTTGGTGCACCTCTGTGTAAACATCTGGAACTTTCTTTGGTTATCTAGGCGACTGATTATCTTTACTGAACAAACAAACATTTAGATAGGCACTTTTTCTAATGATCTAGCTTCTAAGAAAGCTAAAAATTATTAGATAGGTTTATATTTTTCGACAAATGCGATTGTAGCTTTGTGTCACGCACCGCCATAACTCTGAAATTCAAAATACGCTGGTTTTCAAAAGAAGCCCACTATTGACCTGCAACATTGTAAACAGATATAAATTTACCCCCTCTTATGCCTGATGGGGATAAAAACTTTGGTGGCTCTTTAGTTTTCGATTTTAGAAAATGACGACGTCACATGGAAACGATCTTCAGTTCCTCTGGGACTCGGAGAATCGTTTGCGTTCGGAATAGTCAGAATAGTCGAAATAGTCAGATGGCTTCCAGCTTATCCCAAATTCGTGTCTTATGCAATACCTTGACAATGTTAAGCTTTCCACCAGAGACAGAGAAGAATGTACAAGCCATGAGAATCTATAGGTTTTTACAGTAGCGGTGGTTCCGAGTTAAACCATTTATTCTAATTTTAACTGAACATCAATTTCTACGACGAATTTGCGATCCTAAAAAACTAGTGAAACATCTCCTCGTGGTCGCAAACGAAAAACATCAACTAAGAGTAGTCACATGACCCAAGCATTTGCACTTCGTATACGCTATAATAAAATGTCCTTCACATTAAGTGGGGAACCCGAGATCGAAGAAACCCTCGATGGCTTCGCACAGATCAACCCACTTCTTTGGTCTTTTTCTCATTTCTGGTCGAGTTTCATCGAGATCAAGGTATTGAATGAAGAGGAATACTCTATCCTACGCGTCCTTTATTGCCACAGCTTCCAGCAACATATCTTCCTTGCATTCTGCAACTATTTTGACACACACTATCGCATGTTCGCATATATTCTTCTCAGAAACAAAATATTGTTATTCCCGAAATGACGTCAAAAGCCAACTCGTCCCATTCTCCGCTATTCCTCGGTCGTGGACATGGAAAA